AATCAATAAAATTTCTTAAACTAAAATCACTTAATTTTTAAGTTGAAAATGAAAATACTGAAAAGTAAAGAAGACAAAGATTTGTTGAGGCAGTTCCCCCGCCGTCCTCGCTTCGGGGTACGTCTGCCCTCAATTCTAAAAATAGAATTGAGATGATTTATAATAGATATCACCTGTAGAGTTGTAGTAGTTTATACAAGAGTTGATAAGCAATAATACAAACAATCCCTATAGATGTTGATGATGCTATCACTTCTTGCTCCTTGATTCGAGTTGAATCAAGACCTTCAATCATTGTGAATTGACCTCCGATTCCAGCCCCTTGGTTGAATAACTTTCAGTTCTTCAAACCCTCAGCCCGACTGATCTTAGACACCAACGAATCGAACGCGGAACTCCCTTCAACACTTCACAACCCCAGCTACTAGATTGATGAAATCTTCCGTTTCTAAATCACCTTCGCACCGCTGAATGTTGGTAGAGACGATCCGTATCAAAAACCCCCAAATTCGTAGAATCTTGGAGGGAAAAACCTTCAAGGTTTTATTCAAGAAAAACCTGCCACAATTTTCCACCCGAACCGGATCTTCAATCAACGGATTCGAACCTTATCACCTTGAACGAGACACAAAGCACTCCAAAAATGGTTGTGTGTAGTTGCAGTGTTGTGTGTTGTTTGAGGATGAAGATGAAGAGAAATGTAGGCACCTATTTCACTTTTCTTGTTTTTACAATTTACTCAAAATGCAATTGTTAATTAGTTAAAATGAACAACCTACTATTTATAGTAACAAGCCAATTAACTAACACAACAGGATTTCAAACACATTGGAAAATACTTCATTAACTGTACCAACGCGCGAACGGTCGACCATAGCAGGTCTATGCGTCGACGCATGACCTGCAGATTTTAGCAATATTAAAAACCCAACAGTATGCGTCGACCATAGGTCGGCGTGCGCTGACACGTGGGAAATGTGAAGTCTTCATGCGCCGACTGATGGTCGACTCATAGCTTCCATGCGCTGACCCATGGGACAGTGAACTGGGTTGTGCGCTGACTGGTGGTCGACTTATAGCTTCCATGCGCTGACCCGTGGGAAAGTGAACTGGGTTGTGCGCTGGCTGATGGTCGACTCATAGCTTCCAAATCTGCAAAAATAATATATTTGTTGTTTCGTGCGTTTTGTCACGACTGAATATTTATCATGTGTTTTGCCGATGATAATATGACGAGTTAAAGAGATATAGGAAGGATATGATATGTTAAATATTGCAATTGTCTTCTGGGTGAAATTGACAGCTCCTATCGATCCGAGGTTGTACTTTGTCATCATCGAAACTTGAGAACATATGTTGTGTGACATTTTGCCCTCACAGAAGATATTTACATGTATAAACCTCTTGGGTTTGTTGCTTAGGGGGAGTGTAATCAAGTATGTAAATTGCACGGGTCTTTGTATGGGTTGAAACAATCACCTCAGGCATGATTTGGAAGATTTAGTAAAATGTTGCAACAATTTGGGATGAACCTTGTAAATCAAATCACTCTGTTTTTGCCAAATGCTTTTAATCAAATAAATATATTTATCTAGTGATTTATGTTGACAACATTGTAATTCCAGGTGATGTTTGAGGGTATCAAGACTTTAAAATAATACTTATTTCAGAACTTACAGACTAAGGACTTGGGTCATATTCGTTATTTTTTTGGGGATTGAGGTAGCTAAATCAAGTCAGGTATTATTATCTCTCAAAGGAATCATCTTCTTGATATTCTAGAAGAAACGAGTCTTATTGATTCAAAACCGGTTGATACTCATATGGACCCTAATGTAAAACTTCTTCCTAATTAAGGTGGGACAAATACTGATCCAGGTAGATATCGAAGACTTGTTGGAAAGTTGAATTATCTTATCTTGACTATACCCAATATATCGTTTTCAGTTAGTGTAGTAAATCAGTTTCTAAACTCTCACTGTGACAACCATTGGGATACAGTTAGTCAGATCCTTAAGTATATCAATAGATCACCTAGAAAAGGGCTTACTTTTTTTTATTGAGGCAACACTGATATCATTGGATATTCATATGTTGATTGGGCAGGAGTTACAAGTGATATGCGTTCGACATGCAATTATTGTGTTTTTATTGGTGGAAATTTGATCTCATGGAAGAGCAAAAAGCAAATAATTATTGCTCAATCAAGTACAAATAATATGCGTTCTACTTTGTTAATTTTAAGGATCAACTTGCTGAACTCTTTACAAAGTCTCTTTGGAGACCTTAAATTACTTACATATGTGATAAGATGGATGCTTATGATATATATGCACCTTTTGAGGGGAATCGTTGAGATATGATATTGTTTTTATCATTAATATTTATTGTTTGAATGTTTTTTAATTCTTAGTATTATCTTTCCCCTGATTAATGAGATTGATTATAAAGCTTAAACTTAGTATATCTAGTGAGAACGAGTAAGTTATATGAGAATGTGTGAATGAATAAGAACAATCAGATCTAAAACAGAAAAGTTGAGATTAAATAACGGTTTTCAATAAATCATGTGTTATTAAGAGAAAAGAGAAATCATTAATCAAAATTTAAATATATCTTTTAATCTCAAAATTACCTTTTCAAAACTGATGGTTCTTCTTCATTTTCACATTCTCATATAACTTACTTATTTTAATTATATATATATATATATATATATATATATATATATATATATATATATATATATATATATATATATATATATATATATATATATATATATATATATATATATATATATATATATATATATATATATATATATATATATATATATATATATATATATATATATATATATATATATATATATATATATATATATATATATATATATATATATATATATATATATATATATATATATATAAAATAAAAATCATAAATATAAAAAATTAAGAAAAACTAGATAAAATTGTCAAAAAAATAAAGTACTAGTAAAAAAAAAATTTATTGATTAAGAAGAAAAACAACTCCAATTTTATTATTTTAACTTGCGTGGAGCAACTCAATTTTCTGGATACAAATTAAAGAAAATAAAAAATGCAGATGAAAACATATAAACAAATTGAAAGAAAACAAAATACTATACTTCAAAATACTCAAACGCACGCAACATCAGAATACGACTTCGTTTTGATCACCCGGAGAGAGTCAATTCACAGCTTCGAAGTTCATAGCTTCATCCACCATAACCATACGGCGTCGTTCCCGAGTTCACCCTTTCCAACTCGTCGCGCTTCAGCGTTTCTGATAAGATATCATCTTCCACTAGGTACTATCGGAACCTCATCTTGATCAAACCTTGTTTCTTCGTTTTAATCCTAAGGTGTTTAGATGCTTCAAAAAATTGAAATCTGTATTTGGTGTTCAATTTGTAAATGTATTCTGTTGTATGTTTAGATTCTGATATTGTTGAACATTTACCAAGTTTTAGTAAATTTTCAGTTGTTGTTATATATTTATTATAATAGCTAGCATATAATTCACTTTATTATATTGAAGTAACCTATTGATAATTGAATTGCATGTAATGTTTTTCTTGGTGCATTTGCATTATAAATATTAAGAAAGTAGGGTTACTTGTTGTAGGTTTATTATCTCAGTTCTGAACTTGATCTTAGTAGTGCATGTTTGGAATCATAGTACGTTTGACGAAATCGCAGTGGCACTGTAGCTTTGAAGTGTGGCTTTTGCCAAAATTGCAGTGTCATAATTTGATTCTACCAAATTTACAGTCATTCCAACTTAACCAACTTATGTTTGGTTTGCAAAACTGAGGTTCCTTGACAAAAGGACAAGTAATCTTAGAAAACATGTAATAATGTGCTACACATTTGATGATTGATATTTTGTAGTAGTCTTATTTGGGATGTGAACCATCGAATTTAAGCTGACTGGTGGAAATGGAAGATGACTTTGGGGGTTTTATGTGATGTAAAGTTACTGCATAAGTTGAAGAGAAAATTTTATCGGATTGCCGTAAGATCTGCGATGTTGTATGGGACAAAATGTTGGGCGATTAAGAATTAACACGAGAAAAAAGTAAATGTAGCAAAGATGAGGATGTTGCGTTGGATGTGTGGTCAGACTAGACATGATAAGATTAGAAATAATAATATTATAGATAGTGTTGGGGTAGCCTTATAGTAGAGAAGGTGGAAAATAAACTTAGGAGGTTTAAGCATGTAGAGAGAAGACCGGTAGATTATGTGGTAAGGAGAGTAAATCAAATGGAGAAAAGTCAAACAACTAGAGAAAGAGGAAGAGGAAGACCTATAATAACTATAAGAGAAGTTATTAAGAAAGATATCGAGATTAACAAGTCGAATGGATGCATGGTCTTGAATAGAACATTATGGCGAAAGTTGATCCATATACCCGACCCCACTTAGTGGGATAAAGCTTGGTTGTTGCTTTTGTATTTTGTAGTAGTCCTTTTTGCTTCGATTGTTTGGTCTTTGGAGCATTCTTTTGTTAGGTGTTGTGATTTGATACATCACTTACGCATTTGTTGAGGTGGTTTTGTTTTTTCCTTCTCTCTTTTTGGTTTATTTATTTTTATCAAAATGATTTTGTATAGTACTACATGTGATGCATGTTGCTAATTTGGTGTATCTGTTTGCTTTTCTTATCGTTATATTCATTTGTATTATCATATTCTGGAGTTTTGCTTAAAAACATAATATATTTGTTACTTGTGGTTGTTCCTGTATCCATTTGAAGAGGACCGATTCAAGTTGATAAGATTCGTGGTTGAGAGGATTTCGGTGTCATCTAAGAGTGGAAAGCTTGTTCATGGTAAGAATCCTAGTGCTGGAATCAAACAAAGATTTCAAAACTTATTAAACTCTTTCGAGGACTCAACTGAGAAGGAAAATGATGAAGAGGTAGCTGATGATTATTCTATAGTTGAAAGCAAACTAAATGGTTTCAAAATGGAGACTCGAACTCCCGGAATAGGAAGTACCAGAGGTTACGCCTCTATCACTCAGGCCAGCTTAGATGGATCCAACTCTGTGATTGATGAATTAAACTGTGTATTAAATGAAAAGAAATTGGCCGTAGAAGAGGTTGATTCAAGAATGGGTTCATTTGGAAATGAAGAAAATCCTGCTCCTGCTGGTGATGGACATTTGACAGTCTCAAAACAAAAGGTATCTTTCATGAAAGCTCTCGTGATATTTTCTGTTCTTAAGTTGATACCTAGTCAAAAAATTATGCTTATATTCAGCTCTTTACTTTTTACATTTGATATCTCCAAACATATAAAATGTGTAGAACAGATGAAACTTACTGGATGCTTAAAAAAATCTGATTTTGTTTTATGAATACTGCATGTGCAAACTTGACACTGATAGATATCAAATTCAGGAGAAAGAACTCGTTGATGAAGTAACTCTAAGGACTTTGGAAGTGGAACATCTTGAACGAGAATTGGAACTGATGAAAGCAGCAGCTGAAATGGCATTTGATAACCAGCAGTCTATTGACTTATACCTTGACCAGTTGACTGAACAAGTACATGCTAAAAGAGATTACTTTTTGACTTTGGAATCAGAATGGTAGGTCAAAGTGTTTATATATAATAATATAGATGTTTATTATAGGTTTATGGATCAACATAGGCATATCATAGAATTATTCAGTGTTGAACTTTTCCCTTTCCAATAAAGAAGAAATTTACATATACATGCACGGTCACACATAATGTGTGCATACATTTGTAAGACAAAAGTGATATATCTTGAGCACATGATTATTATCTTTCCTTTCCTATAAGAGAATGAGCAGTGAAAATATTGTTATCTTCGCTGGATTTCAATGTGTTGCAGGGATGATGTAAGAAAAGCCTTGGAAGAGAGAAAGAAAACTCTTGAGGAATCTCTATATTCAAATAATCCAGATGCACAGGTAATGCTCCAAAAGTTGAGAGAAGGGCAGCTGGAAGAACAGTTCATTTCATCTGAAATTAGAAAGAGGTGCATTTCCAAATTTCATGTTCAATTCATTTCACTTTTTTTGCCGAATGTACATTATAAGCCTCTTCTTACAAGCCCTTGCTAGAGACATTCATTGAGTCACATGTTTTACAGTTTTGTTTGGGAATTGGCGATTCATACTATACAGCTTTTCCTTTTAGCATCCTTCTTGATTTCCATCAAGTATCGCCTAAATGAAAATTGCTGCCTTCTTCTTTTTTCATGGTTAATGGAATTGGAAGCTTGTTAGAAGTTCTCTAATTTCTCACATTAAAGTCATTTTGTTGGATTTAACAATAAATGAGTACCTAGAAAAACAGCTAGAGGTAGAGGAAGACATAGAAAAACTATAAGAGAAGTTATTAAGATCTCGAGATTAATGATTTGAATAGAAGCATGGTACTGGATAGAACAAACATTATAGCTTAAATTGATTCATTTAATCGACTCCACTTACTGGGATAAGGCTTGGCTGTTGTTGTTGTTGTAACAATAAATGAGTGCTTCTCACAAGCTGAAAATTGCAAAAATATGCTGCTTAGAAAGAATTGAGAGACCTATCAAAAGAAGTCCATTGCACCAGTGCAGCAAGCATCATTTTATGTCACTTTAGATTTATTAGGTAGTTCAAACACTAATTTTACCACACTTCAAATTCAGTTTGCTAGTTTATCCTATATCAGCTAGCTTGTCTTCCATCTGCTACTTGTTACCAAACTGAACCTTTGTGGGTCAAAATTTCAACTGATTTTATCTTGACTGTTTAATACTTTCAGTATATTGATGTCTTAAATAATCGGATTTACCAGGATGGTACATATGCCGTATTGACTTGCATATCCTCTCTTTCACTAGGGAGGAGGAACATTCAAAACTTCTTGCAGGTCTGGAAAAGCAGCAGAAAGTAGCATCTAGGAAATCCTATACTCACCGTATTGAGGAGATTACGAAAAATAGCCGCAAACAAGATGCTGATATTGAGAGAATCTTAAAAGAAACCAGGGAGGTTCAATTGGAAAGTAATTCTATCCAAGAAAGTTTGCATCGGACGTATGTTGTTGCCGATGAAATTGTCTTTAGGTATGAAAGTTTTTCGCGTATTTCTAACATTAATGAAGAAACAATGTAGCACCTTATGTTAGTAGAGATCTTGCTTCTTTTTTTTCCATGGTTGATTTTATTTTCTCACTAAAAGTAAGCATTATAAAATTTGTTTTCACATCCTTACCTCTGCAGGGAAGCAAAGAAAGATCCAATAGGGCAGCAGGTTTATAAACTCCTGGTAAACATCCATAAAGGTTTCGAACAAATACCTGAGAAAATTCTGGCAACGGATAGAATTAGAAGAGAAGTATCTGACTGTGAAATGAAACTGGCAACCATACCTTCCACTTCAAGAAGCTTAGAAGTGAGCAAGTTACAATCTGATCTTGATGGTGTGATTATTAGGGACAACGAAAAGCCCAAATAACAGGTACAGTTGAGTGAAGGTGTTTAAACAACTAATCCGAACTTGGCATACACAGCTTCAAAGGCTTAGATGTGAGCAATTTAAAAGCTGGTCTTTGTGCCATTGTGAGGGAAAATGAATATCTTGATCCACTGTTACACTGTTACAGGACAAGTAAATTTTAGTCTTCGAGGATTCATTGGAAACAGATAAACAGTTAATTACCTACTCTGCCTGTTTTTGTCTTGAAAGTTATAGAATTAGAGATTAGAAACACATTATGAAATTTCATTTTTCCACTTGGTTTGAATGGTTGAGTTTCATGTTTGTTACTTGGATTTTGTCCGTTATTGTTTTTCACTAGGCATAAATGTATCCAAGAGGCAATTAAGTATTGTAATGTCAGTTTACAGAACATTGAACTTGCAAAACTCTAATATGAAGAATAAGCTTTTAAAGCAACTTTTGACATAAACTGTTTTTTCAAATGAAAATTCTGAATATTCAGTGTTTGAACTATATGGAATTACATGCTATATTTAGGTAGCCTGAGTTATCGATCTCGGCCGCAAACGGCGCGATCCCGGCGGTCCGGCCACCAGCCGCGCGAGAAGAGTGGGGCGGAACGCCGTTTGAAAATGCGGCCGATATCACTGCAAATGCGGGTCGCAGGTTGCGGTTTGCACCCCGGGCAGAGTGGTTTATCCGCTTTTGTTTTTGTTTTTTTTTCTTTTCGCAGGCTGTGTAGGAGAATGGGAGACTCGTCAGCCTAACTTGATTCCCTACATGGACTATGCAAGGAGGTTGTTACCTTTCTACGATAGGGTAGAGTTTCATCACGTGCCAAGAGAGGAGAATCAGATGGCAGATGCCTTGGCTACATTATCCTCGATGTACAAGGTGAATTATTAGAACGACGCTCCGAGAATTGTCATCTCTCGCCTTGATAGGCCAACGTTCGTATTCGCAATAGAGGAAGCTTCAGATGGGAAGCCATGGTATTATGATATCCGAAACTTTCTTAAGAATCAGGAATACCCTCCTTGGGCATCGAGTCGGGATAAGAAGACCTTGAGAAGACTGTCTGGAAACTTCTATTTGAACAAGGATGATGTACTCTACCGAAGAAACTTTGATCTGGTTCTGTTGAGATGCGTGGACAAAAAAGAAGCAGGTCTGCTTATGGAAGAAGTCCACGAGGGTGCTTTTGGTACGCATGCAGGCGGACATGCAATGTCTCGGAAACTGTTGAGGGCAGGCTACTTTTGGTTGACCATGGAGTATGATTGTTTCAAATACGCCAAGAAATGCCATAAATGTCAGATTTATGCTGATAAAATTCATGTGCCGCCAAGTCCTCTGAATGTTATTGCGTCTCCTTGACCCTTTTCCATGTGGGGAATTGATATGATCGGTAAGATTAAGCCGACCGCATCCAACGGACACCGCTTCATCTTAGTGGCAATTGATTATTTCACTAAGTGGGTTGAAGCAGTTTCTTTCGCCAATGTCACCAGACAGGTCGTGGTTTGATTCATCAAGAAGGACATCATTTGTCGTTACGGAGTGCCCGAATAAATCATTACTAATAATGGTTCAAATTTGAATAACAATATGATGAAGGAACTGTGCCATAGTTTTAAGATTGAACATCACAATTCTTCTCCTTAACGCCCGAAGATGAATGGCGCTGTCGAGGCCGCCAATAAGAACATAAAGAAGATTGTGCAAAAGATAGTTGTGACCTATAAAGATTGGCACGAGATGTTTCCCTTTGCATTACACGGATACCGTATTTCGGTAGGTACTTCAACTGGGGCAACTCATTTCTCGCTAGTGTATGGTATGGAAGTTGTCCTACCATTGGAAGTCGAGATTCCTTCTTTGAGAGTTTTGGTTGACGTCCAACTTGATGAGGCAGAATGGGTGAGGAACAGATTGAATCAACTCAGCTTGATGGACGAGAAAAGACTGACATCCATTGCATATGGTCATTTGTATCAAAGAAGGATGAATAAAGCTTTCGATCAGAAGGTTCGCCCTCAGAGCTTTTGGGTAGGTGGCCTAGTGTTGAAGCGGATTCTCCCTTCACAGACAGATCATAGGGGCAAATGGACTCCCAAATACGAAGGTCCATACGTTGTAAGGAAGATCTTCTCAGGAGGAGCCTTACTACTCTCCACCATAGATGGCGAAGGTTTCACATCCCCTGTGAACGCAGACACAGTTAAATAATACTTTGCTTAAAATAGACCCGCTGGAAAGAAAAAGAAAACTCAGGCAAAAATGGGGCATCTCGACGAACCATAAAAATAATGGGTTCGGGAAAAAATTAGGGATAAAAAGGAAAAGATGTAAGACCGCGAAGTTGAAAACCTGAAAAGGCGACTTCGGCAAAAATGGGTATCCCGGTGAATCGAAAATCCGCAAGGGCGATTCAGACAAAAGTTAGGGATTTGAAAAGAAAATGACTGCGGCCTGTCTGTTAATCTTACGAGTACAATGGATTCTGGGAGGACCCGAGGGTCAATCAATCAAGTCAGTCTCTTCGAAAAATGAATCATCAGGAGAAGCATCAAAGTCATGCGAGTCATAGATGAATCGACACATGGTGGTTGTCTGTACCACATTGTTGACATTTTGTATAGTTTCTTGCATTTCTGTACTATTTGCGCAACTTTCTCTTTTCAGGAGTTGCATATGTTGTAAACTTGTTTATTTATAGGACATTTATCAATGAAGTATATATTATTCAGAAAGCTTTTGTGTTTGTTTTAGCCTTTACTGTTTTATTCGCAAAAGACGCCCGATGTTTTTGATAAAACTTTGCATACATAAACTTGTGGGATTTGCTAATAATAATTAAAACTTTGATTTATGTCATGGACAATAACCAAGATAGCTCTTGTTGTATACAGGATACTTTGTTTGTATTTGTTGCAGGGCTCTCATTCCTGAGACTATTCCAGTGAGGCATCCCTAGTAAAGACCACCATATCTCTGCCCTTACAAGAGGAAGTTGTGCCGTTTGAGACTAGTGTTTCCCCAGCAGGCTGAGACTAGTTTCTCTCCAACAGTTTGAGCTTATGGTTATCCCCAACAGGTAAACCTGGGATTATCCCCAACAGTGGAGCGAGTTCAAAGTTTTGCTTCCCCACAGAGTCTAAGCCTTTGACTCCTTTCCCCTTAAAGCCTAGATCATTGGCTCATTCTCTAAGTAGAGGTTGATATTGTTGAGTTTGTTGCTCATTCCCCCAAGCAGAGGAAGATGTTGATTCCCTCATTGGTTGATCTCCAGCGGAGTTCTTGTTCATAGCAGAATCCAATTGGTCGTTGGTATTTGTCAGAGTAGGTTGCCTTCGGGATATTTCCCCAACAAATTTTCATCTCCTGCAGATCCCCAGCAAAGTCGCTGGGTCGGTTTTCTTCCCCGCAGAGTGGGATTGACCCGGAGATTGTTATTCTCCATCCTCAGTGGAAAATTTCCGGGATGTCTTCCCAGTAAATTTTATTCACTATCCTTGGCAGAGCAGATTCAAATCTCCAACAGAGTGGAATCCCCGACAGAGTGGAGTAATTCCCCGCAGTTTGCTTTACTCCCCGGTAGAGTCGTATGCTGGAAGGCCATCCAGGGCTGATTTCCCCAGTAGAGTGGATCTGTTTTCCCCAGCCAAGTCATTTGTTCCCCAGAAGAGTTGTATTCTGGTAGGCCATCCAGGGCTGTTTTCTTCAGCAGAGTTTGATTTGATCCCTAGCGGAGCGAATTTTGTTCTCAGTAGAGTTGTTGCATCCAAGAAATTCATTTTCTAAGAAGCCATCCAGGGCTTGTTCTTCCCAGCAAAAGTCCAATTGTACTTGGCACCCAGTTATCTCCAGCGGAGTTTGTTCCGTTCTCTTTAGCATTTATTTTTTTGGAGTGGTTCCTTTGCATTGTGCATAACATCCTCCCAAACGTGTAGCATTTCCATTTTGTATGGAGCATTACGCCATATTCAAACATGTGCATTTGAAACATAAGCCAGGTTGTTATCTTTTGTTTCCGGTTGTATCTCCAGCAGTCAATGATGCGTCTACCTTATCAACAAAATTTCTTGAGCCCGTGCGGTATCCAGACCTCGACAAACAAAGGCGTTTTCTTGAGCTGTGTGGTATCTAGACCTCCAGCGAGATCATTGAAAGATGTGTTTATCTTATTGTTTCTCCCCACGGAGTCTACTTGGTTGAGTTTGTTATTTCCCCAACAAATTTCTTATTTCAGATTGTGAATCGACGGATTCTCTTCTCAACTTCATATTGAGCCAGACTTCGGGTTCGATGCCTGTTTGTTTAACAGATGTCTGACGACGAGGTCAGATGTTCTTGTCAGCTTCGGGTTGAGCCGACCTTCAGGTTCGATGCCTGTTTGTTTAACAGATGCCTGACAGCGATATCAGATGTTCTTCTCAACTTCGGGTTGAGCCGACCTTCGGGTTCGATGCCTGTTTGTTTAAGAGATGCCTGACAGCGAGGTCAGATGTTCTTCTAAACTTTGGGTTGAGCCGACCTTCGTGATCGACGCTTGTTTGTTTAACAGATGTCTGATGACGAGGTCATATGTTCTTCTCGACTTCGGGTTGAGCCGGCCTTCGGGTTCGATGCCTGTTTCTTTAACAGATGCCTGACAACGAGGTCAGATGTTCTTCTCAACTTCGAGTTGAGCTGGCCTTCGGGTTCGATGCCTGTTTGTTTAACAGATGCCTGACGGCGAGGTCAGATGTTCCCACTGACTTAGTGTCGTTGCCTGCATGTTAGCAGATGTTTTTCCCGACTGCGTGTCAATGCTTTCTATTTGGTAATGAGTTAGCTCATTGTCCTTGCAGTTATCAGTTACATTTTCTTCAGTGATTCTACTTCCACTTTGGTGGATCAGTTCTACAGTTCAGTTCTGCGGTTGGCAAATTTCTAGATTCTTTTATATTCAACCTCCTGTTACCTTGAACGTTTGAAAGCCGTTATGAAATTCTGGTATGCAGATTTCAGAT